ATAATGATAAAGGGCGAATCTACTTTTCATTGTCAAGAAAATCAAATAGAAACGTGGATAAAGTGCGTCACACAACATTTCATACGTGCACCGCAAGCGAATATCAAATATAATATGAGATCTTAGATACTCAAACAAAAAAATACTCCTAATGCATAAGTACGTGATATGAATATTGTTCACGGCGACATTCGCGCTGCCAAAACATGTATATTAAATAAAAAGTCCTTACAAATATTTTTCAATTTGATAATAAATAATATTATGCACAAGGATTATTAATAATACATTAATAAAATTTAAAAACAGAGTGAAAAAAGGAGAGAAAGAGAGATATGCTATTTATATGTAATTCTATATAATTAAATTTGGAAAATATCCAAAAACAAATGTAATAGATACGTTAATACTCGTCGATACTCGTTCGCTTAATATTTATTTTTTTTAAATCATGACAATGATATTTAAGCACATTTAGATTCAGAATGTATCGAGAAATATTACGTCATTCTCTAGAAAGGTGATTTTATGATATGCGTCCTGAGATTGTCGTGTAACGTTATTATTTTAAAAATAACTTTATCATATATAATTTACATATTTCTTTCAGAAAAATGCAACGTATACAGAAAATATTGCTGCTCCGTAAAGAAATAACCCCTTTGAATCTGTGCTTTTATAAGGAGCACTGAAGAAAGGTTAAACGAGAGAGAGAAGATATCGTTCAAAGTAAAGTATCGATAGACAGGCTCGAAATAACTAGATCTGACCTATATTCTGAAATACGCACTGACAAAAAAAAACAACCACATGAAACATTGTGCGAGGGAATATACGCGGCAATTCCAACGCGACGCATATATCTTTCGCAAAAACTGCATGTCGGCATTTCTATACGAAAGCAATACAGTGAGTCGTATGAAAATTGATCAAACGTGTAGCATCACCAACACGAAAGCTAACATTCGAACATACATACCACATCGGAGAACAATTGACACTTGACCCACAAAACAATTTTTCAGGCAATAACGATGCTGTACTGTATACTCTCTCTCTCTCTACTCACAATACAGGTACAATTAAATTACGCACCTAGTTATATTAACTCGCGACAACCCTCTTCATGTCATCGGGTGAACTATCAATTTGAGTTTTACAAAATATATAACGTTTCGAATTGGACAATCGAATCATTAGGGAAAAAGAGCTGTTGAAAATCAGCTGATTTTTACTACATCAGGAATAAACGCATTTTGCATCTTTGTAATAGAAGAATGCGATAAATTTTTATAAACTTGTCAACGGTAAAATCCCTCCATTTTTCTCGATGTAGAATCTAATTCCCCTTATTGCAAACATACATCAAGATACGATGATTTATTTTCATAGGCAAGTCGATGCAGAGTCTACTATCCGGTGGTATGATAATATATCATCTTGACTTTAATCCGGTTTAATACTACGGACAATTTCAGTCGAGTTATGTTCAAATCGGTCGCAGGTAACGTGAGAATAAATCAAGTCGCTGCTCGGTACGCCACCTGATTTCGCGGTTGCGTAAAAACGCAACAAACCCGTACCTACACCAGTGTGCAAAAAAGTGAGAGATATATATCGGCTACCGGCCACGCTGCGTGACGCAACGAAATGTGAGAAAGCGCGAAACCAACACACACGCACCTCGAGAGTGACGCGAAAGGCAAGCACGTGGTCGATTCTATCGGCGAAATAGAAAGGCACTGTGGAAGCGACGAGAGACGCGCATCCAAATTATTGTGCTTTACGCTAAATAAGGTGTAACATTTATCGCGGCGAAAATAAAATTAACCGACTGTTGTCTGTCAGCGAGTATAAAGCGAAAGAGAATTATTTCATTGGCGTCAAAATGAAAAGCCAAATTAAAAATAAATAAATAAAAATTGCTGACGGTATTTTTAATGAAAAAATAGAGCGAAAATTATGTTAAATTATTTTCCAAGCGATGTAAAATCAAGTCACTCGAGAGACATTAAAGACGAAATAAAAGCGTAAACAGAACCCGCCGTTGTATATCGTACAACGCAAATATTTCTCTTTAGCGCGCGCGACCTTGTTTACTTTTCTAAGGTTGTAAAGAAATTCGCGATCTCCGAGATGCCGGGTTATCGCGGGCGATATCGATCGGCGGTTGCGTTTCCCTAACGATTCGACCGTTAGACAAGACAGGGATACCCGGACGATCGAAAATACCACATTCTTTCCCTCGATCCTCGAGCCAAGGACAGTCGGTAAATTACAGTTTCGAGCAGTCCTTCGCCCGGTAAAACCAACAGCGCGACCAAACGGTGTATACGGTCTATCGAGAACGAGAAAGAAAAAGGTCAGCATCACATTGTGAGCGAAATTCAATCCTCTACCGACGGCTGCGCGAACAAAGGAGAGGTCTGCCTTTCAAGCAAGCGACGCGGGGGACCGTTCGTCGGCTTCGAGGTCCGGAAAAGCCGGTATTCCCTGCTCCGTTTTAGACCGTCTACCTGCGTACTCTCGAGAAGGAGAAAACACACATGTATACGGAATGTCGTGTACAAAAATAATACACGTAGCCGAAGGTTTCAAAAGGTATATTTGTGCGCGCGCGTTCTGCGTTACCTGCGCTCAAATAAAAATTCAGGACGCCTGCGGCTCTACGTTATTTCAAATATAACGATAATAGAGAAAAAGATAGAGAGATGGACCTACGAAAAATATTGCGGAAACTTTCGTTGGAAATATATATTGGAAGAGAAAGTGGAATATTAATCTCTCGTTTATTTCATTTTATATATGCATAAACTACACATTCTCCTCTCTCCTATTTTCTACGTACATTTTGTATATTAGTCACTCAAATAAATGTGTAGCAATTTAATTTGTTTTTTAATTTTTTTTTCTTAGGAAAATAATAAAATTGATTTTAAATATTTATTATATTTTTTAATTTTCTTTTCTTAGGGAAAGAATAAAATTCATTTTAAATATTTATTATATTTCTTAATTTTCTTTCCTTGAGAAAAGAATAAAATTCATTTTAAATTTTTATTATATTATTGCCGATACACAATTCTTGGTATGCGATGAATGTTAATTAATGCATCTATGTATGTGAATATATCTAAATATAAACACGTTTCAAAATACGATAATAAATTTCTTCATTTTTATCTACTTCTATTCTTCGAAATTCCACACATAATATCTAAACGAGTCGACAAAGCATGCTTGAAATTCCGAATAAAGGCTACTTTAACTTCAAAGCAAATGACACTGGAATGTTTTTCCACGATAAAAACATGTCTTTAACAATAAAGTAATTTCATGCTACCTGTCGAACAAATCGAATTTTCAGCTATTGTTGCAACCGTCGTTCATTTTTTCTAAGGAAAAAAAAAACATTCCAAGATTATCATTTATACCTAGGCCCTAGGCTAATCCCAGATAATACACAGAGAAAAAATGTATCCCGTATTCAAGTATTATTTATAAATATTATTTATTCTAAGTATATCATAAGTTTGTATATCCACAAATATATCATAAATTTACTACAAGAATTAAATTTAATTGAATATATTCTAAATTTTAGTAAGTGCAGTATATTAAATTAAAACAAAATTTTTTTTTGCTTACTACAAGAGTTGACGTAAAGTAAGTCTGATTTTTCTTTGATACAACTTTACAATATTCTTGAAGAGAAAATAAATTCTTCTTTTGAGTACATGATAATGAGATTTTCTAACAATTGTGACGAGTATATTTTAAGATTATCAAGAATATATTCTTTGTTGAAGAGAACTGTTACTTAAAAAAGAAAAATAAATTGAGAAAAATAAATAATCGCTTTTCCTGGCAGTGGAATGATATTTTTCTCTGTGTAATCTCGGAAACGTTACTTATCGTGAAACATTATTCATATTTAATTATCGTATGCGATTAGTAGCAGCCAGGACAGCGGCTGTTTAACTTTCACCGGCCAACGTGACGCGCAGCGTCTGTCAAACGACAACGCGTCTCTCTCGCCGTTAAATCGACGAGCATTTCCCTAGTTTCACGTTCGTTTTCGTTAATACTCGAGCCATGCGCCGTCGATGATCAAGGTGTCCCTCCGAAAACGAGCTAGCCAAAGAATAACGCCGTCTCGCTCTTTCTCACGCTCCCTCTCATCCTTTCCCTTTCTCTTTATATATACACTCCCTATCTTTATCTCTCTCTCTCTCTCTTTCTTTCATCGATTTATCTCTATCGTTCGTTACGGCACCAAGGCGAACATAACCTACAATACTGTAATTTCGGTTATGGGAGGACAAGGATGCCCTGGAAGAGAGAGACAACGAACGGAGCCAGCGATACGCTCAAGGACATTTATTGTCGGACCGCTTTCGGCGATTTCGTTGGCGCGACAAAGAAGCAGAGAATCGAAAGGAAAAGGGAAAAAAGGAAGAGGAGGCTCTCCGGCAGACTAGACACGAACGGCGGATCGATGAAAGTCGTGCGATTCAAACAAGAGTCACATGTTTAAATCTGCGTAAGAAACAAGTTGAAGAACATGCCTGCCGATTCCTCGCGGGGGAAAACGAGGGGGGGAACGGAATGAAGTAAGGAACAGGATTAAAGTAGGATGATTAACGCGCGCGAAGGCGAGCGGGCTCGAGCGTTACTCGAGAATACCGTCCGGCGATCACCGGGAGAAAGGAGCAGCGGGAAAGGGCACTCTTCCCGCCACTCGGTCCGATTGTTTCGCGACGAATCGCGACGCGAGCTCGCGCCGACGGATAGCGTGGTCCGTCGACCCGGCGCCTCCTATCGAACCGACGCTCTCGGGAGCTTTTCCTCGCCGAACGAGAACAGGGGCGTAAGAACGCGCGGCTCATTTTCGGAGCGGCTTCTCGAAACGCGAGAAAGGGAGACGCGGGCGGACATCGGGTTATTTCGTCCGTTTCCTCATCCGGAATAAACGTAAAGAAAAACGTAAAGAAACTTACAGGGTAGTACATCCCTTGGGGAGGAAGGAAAAACGCCCCAGAGCCCCACAGTTTGAGGCCGTTTTGCTCCACCGTTGTGCAAGAAAACAAATCCGTCACTCCGTACCGCCGCCTCCCCCACCTCCGCCTCCACCGCCGCCTCTCTTCTACGCCGCCTGTTTGTGCTCTTCCTCTCTGCGGGCGCTCCTATCTCTCCTTCTTTCCTGCGTTTTAGGCACACTACTATGACGCGGTGCCCGTCGCGGCGTCTCGTCCCTGCGTCGCCCGAGATGTTGAGGCACAAACGACGCACGTCCCCTCGACTCCTCGACTTTCGCACTCACCGAAACGAGGTAGACACACACGCGATTATACACACGCACGCGCACGTACGAATGGACCCACGCACCGGATTAAGCAGCAGGAATCGACGGATTCGCGGCCGAATCGAGAACGAAGCGACGACGTTGTACTGGTACGCCCGCCCGCTGTTTTTCCGTCACCCTCTCTCTCTCTCTCTCTCTCTCTCTCTCTCTCTCTCTCTCTCTCTATCTATCTATCTAGCTTTCTCGCGCGACGCTTTCTGTTCACGATATCGCTCCCCTCGCGATCGCTCCGCGTTTTTGTCTCTGTCTGCCGACTTTACGACTCTCGATCTCTCCACGACCGTCACTGTACGTGGTCCCGACGTGACTAACAACGATCCCGCTATCAACCGGCGCCATTGACCACTAGCGACGCCACCAGGCACGCCGCCGCCAGCGCCGCCTCGCGGTCGCCCCCGCGTACTATCGCGGACCGAGCTCGATCAGAGCGCACGTATTTGGACGCATGTGTGCGTGTACATGTATACGTACGCGCGGTTAATCAAAGCCCGTGAGACTGTGCGACGCGATTGACTCGGGATTTACACTTGACGTTTCGGCAAACACATCCTCTTATTTATACATGCGCGCGTATACCAACGTCTTTATTCGCTGAGATACGGCTATCGTCTTGCAAAGAGCATTTTGTCGTTATATTCGATACCATCCATGCATACACCCTTCTGTATTTATGAGTTTTTCTCATAATCTTACTCGAAAAATAAAATTAGTCGCTTCCTCAAATATCCTCTTTTTCGTTTATGTAAGATATGTTAGAATTTTTTTCACGGATATTCTTATGTATTATAATTTATTATATTTATTTATATTATTATTTATTATAATTTATATATTAAGGATGTTTTGTATCTATTTTCAAAATATTGAGAATTTAATGAAAATTGTACAGAATATCCTTACATGTGTTTAGAATCTTTAGTACAATTTTTAAATCGATTCACTAAAGCGTTCACAAGTTATAAGGATTTTAATTTGCACCGAATTAACATGTGTTCTTATGAAACGTACAACCACGTCGATTTAAATGACAAAAACACATGGAAATAATATTCAAAATTTGTTGAAAATTTGCAAAAGTTTAGATACAGAGGAAATATTTGGTCAAATAATATTATACAAGTATTAACTGGTTAAAAAGATATTAAATATAATTTAATGAAGTTAGCCATGTACCTGTCACAAGGCGAAATTCTCTACCAAAAATTAATCATTTCGATTAACAAAATGTGGAATATTTCAGTAAAAACGCAATAAATATTTAAAAATACATCTCTGCACTGTAGCTAAAATCAAATTGTAATATTCCACACAATTTCTTACTCAAAATACATCAAAAAAAGTGGATATATTCGTCAATATTGATTTTCAGCTACTTTTGCTGGGATTGTACATACAAAACATCCTTAATATATTATAATTTATGTGACTTTATGATTGTATAGCTCGTTAACTTTGCTTAATATTTCTTTGCAGCAAAAAACAAGAGTGTTTAAGTCTTTTTTTTAATGCACGCAATCAATCTAAAATCGTTTGAAGGAAAGACATTCGTCGATACGAGAAGGGATAATCGGTTGCTCGTTTACTTTCACAATTTTCTTGAAGCGAAGCAATTACACAGGATTACGAAATCGTTCATCGCTCTTTATTCGCGTCTCGTACCTTGTATCGCGTGCTCATTATTGCTTTTTTATTGCCATTCGTATGAACGATACTCTTTCCCACCGTCTTTCTCGATAAGCACGCTTGCAACATGTCCTTTTCGCTCACCCGTGATCTTAATCAACGCGCTCCGAAATACATTTCAACGTGAAAAAAAAAAAGAAAAAAATAGCGCATCGATTGTTTAATCCATATTTCGCTCGCGCGATGAGTACATTCCCTTATAACACAAGACTCTCCTTGTATAATCTCTGTGGATTATCTACCTAATGGAATTTCAAAATCTTATCAATTCTTCTCCCCAGCGATTTAAACTTTGTAGAAGAGATATTTATCTTTGCTTCCCACAAGACTGTCAAAGATAATTAGTTATCCGACATATGTATGTTTACCTGTATCACGTGATATACTTTTGAGAAAATTTTGCTTTTATACATTTATAAATTACTACTTGAAGATTCTCTTGATCTTTCGATAATTTTTGAAAATCACAATATATTCTTCTTTTATATAATAAATCATATCAAAAGACAAGTACACAGTAAAAAATATTAAAATTTTCTTTTCTTACCACGTTTTGATTAGTACTTTGATGTAAAAATAACATACACAACCTGTATGTTATTATTTTTATAATATTTTCATGTGTTACATTTATATCATCTTCATAACTTATAACACTTTGTATATGTCTCTTAGAAATGGAATATTATTTGAAGTATTTTTAACAATCATTTTAAACAACCAACACATCTCAAAGTCAATTTCTAAGAAAAGTTAAAGTGAATCTTCAAATAATTTTGAACTTTCACATACAAAAATAATCAAATTTACTAAAATCAAATGTTTCTATTACAAATAATTAAAGTTAAAATAATTACTATTATATGTTAATATCCTCAACATTTCTCACGAGTTATTGTAATTATTTTTTCATGTAATTTTGAATCAATTTGTATGTTATTTTTACATTACACTTAAAGTCACCATAACAAAAATAAATGTAAAGTATCGTGTCAATTATTCAACATTTTTAGTTCGTCAATAAGTAACATACGATGAATGAGTTATTTTAATTTAAAATTTACAGTGAACTTTTTGGGACACGTGAAAAATGTTATAATTAACATTTTATTTTTTACCGTGTATGCGTAAAAAAAAACAGCAAAATTCATGAAATATTGTATCGTATTTATCGAAAAGCCATTAAGCCTCTTTAGGTAGGCTGGCTGTACATGCTTCGAGCTTCCGAGTGATAAGTTATCGATCGCGGTCTGTAATTATGACGGCGCTGACAAGCCCGGGGTTACATCGTCGTCTCGAGACGGTAGACTATTATTTCGGTGCCGTCGCGCGTTCGCCGCATTCGTCCGGGTCAATAAAGTCAACGAAAGTTCGCGCAAGTGGGACCAGACTGACGAGAGGACGCGCGGCAAAAGTTGGACGGAAGAGCTGTCGGAGAGGAAGTTGCGGGAGACACAACGAAATCCCGTTCAATTTATCCCTCTGGAACCCGGCCAGGGACGGCCGGGGATGGTCCAGGGATGGGAGAGAGAAATAATGTGAAAGGCGTGATATCGCGATGGTCCAGTCGCTGGCAATTACAATTTATAACCCTGGGGGGATGGGACGCGGAGCCGGCGGGAGGGGGAGGGAGGGGGAAGGGATGCCGGGATTTTTCTCGCCGAAATGCGCGCATCCGTTGTTATCAACGCAAATCCGCAAAATCTCGTAATACTGACAAATAGACGGCCCGCTGTCGAAACTTGTTTAAAGGGTCTCCCCCGCTTCGTTATAGTTTATCGCGAATCCATCGTCGCGCTGCCTCGTTATTTTGCGTTAACACCTTTCCCGATAACGAGCGAGGACGAAGGAATAAGGGAAAGTATAAAAGTAAATCGCAAACGAACCGTCTGCCGAGTAAGTGCGTACGCAAGAAGTAGGAAGTGTTTCGCTTATGGATCGCTTCGCATATATGTATATATATATAACTAGGGCTATATATTATATATATAGCACATTATATATATATATATATATATATATATATATATATACACACATACATACACCGACAATCAACCTGCGGGGCGATCCACAGGGGACGCAACCCCTCTTCGGATCACCATAGAAACCAAGAGATGGGACGGGAGGGTGCAAAAGCTATAGTGCTTAGAATAACGCGCCAGAACACCCTCCAGATGGAAAGGGATTCTCGTTGTATTCTCGTCGTCGACGCTGGAAATATAGAGATATATCCTCATCCACAGAATATATTCACGGTGCATTTACCATCGATGACTATAAAGCATATCGCGCGCGCGATATCGAAGGAAATATCAAATAAATGCAGTTCACCATAACGTCGAGTGATGAGCCAATGTCGATCGGAGTTCGTGCTATCTCAGGAAAGAGACATAGAAAACGAGATCGATGGAAAAGTTTGCAAATGTTACGAGAGAAAAAAATTACAGAAAACTTTGCAAATATTGTTAGCCTCAATATTTCAGAAGACAACTATAAACAAAAAATCTCTCTCTCTCTTTACACAACCTGGTCCTGAATCGATATAGCAAATTATCCTCTGATTAATTCGCCATTCGAACGAGTATCATTAACCTTTCGTCTACAGGAGGACAAATATTTAGACATGTATAATAATGACCCAAGGGTCTGATCGTCAGTCAATCAATCGGGGAATCCTCGTTACACGCATGCACTTTTCGTGTTTAGTTTCCCCGAGGAGGCGGCGCACGCGATATCGAATCGTGGAAACGGTACCGTCGTAAAATGCACTTTTTCCTTCCCGCGAACTCGGCTGCCGCTGCAGTTTCAAGTGCACTCGGGGTGGCCGCGCGCGCGCGTATTTTTAGAACCCTCTAACGCGCGGACGTGCGTTGCAGCTGGAACGCACATGCGCGCGCTCCCGACGACGCCATTCAGAGTCCTGGTATGCCGGCACCTTCTCTCTCGTCGGCGGTTTACACGGTCCTGACACTATAAATGTTTTACGCCCGACCTCACGGACGAAAATGCGGGGCGACGCGAGGGAGGGGTCCCGAGGGGGAAGAATGAGGGCGGGCGGGAGAGATCGAGAAAGATAAATTTATCGGGTCTTGAGGGGCGGGAGCGAAAGGGGCGAGCGACAAAGTATCGTGCGGGATGCAGGAGCGAAGCATTATGGATATATGGGCCGAGGGATTCACGCTCTCGCTCGTTATATCGGAGGGCAAAACGCGGCATTAGTCGCCGGAGATAATTATCCGCGCGATGATAATATAATATCGACGACGCACAATGTCGCATCTAACGATTAACATAATAGAAATTTTGGGGCAGCGGGGTCGCGCGCGAATCACAGGATAAATCTAATAATTAAATGACGCTGCATCTAGGTGGTCTAATGAATATTTGATTATCGGCCTGATTACACGATCTACAGCTTAGAAGTATCGATAATGTATTATTGGTATCCGGATGTTATATCTGTTATTAACTGTTAATAATAATTTTACTCCGATTTTACGATAATATTTCATTATTAATATTACGATTTATTTCATATGTGAGAAAGAAATCTTTCGCATGAATATAAGTTATATTTCTAGGTTACACACAGGTATCTATAACAATTACATCAGATTTTGATGTCAATAAAGAATGTAAGGGGAGGGAGTTTTCTGA